CCATTTTTGACAAAAAATAAATTCTGGAATAGTGATTGATGGAAGAATGTGTGGTTAAAAAGTAATGAGAATTTTTGGGTTTATGTGTAGTATTATTTTATTGATAGAATGTGTGGTTGAAATGAAGAAAGAGGAAAAAAATGAGAATGAGAATGAAAAAAAGGGTTTCGAACGGGGGCTAAATTGAGCTTTATTCCCTGTGGGACGATAACTCACTCATCACAATTCTTACTTGTCAACGAACTCATACGTTTGCGAGATTTTCACGTAACAGGGATCATCCAAAATATATATATATATATCAGCATTCTGATAGAGAGCATGAGCAAGCTGAATTCACTGATTCTGACCTCCACTAAGATTAACTCCTCTTTGTACGATTTCAGTAGGATCACCATGCTGTAGCAAATAAAAATCCTTTACTAGTGAACACCTCTCTATTGTGTCTTGATATCTCTTGTTATTCAATGCNCACCATGCTGTAGCAAATAAAAATCCTTTACTAGTGAACACCTCTCTATTGTGGCTTGATATCTCTTGTTATTCTATGCAGGTCCAAAGAGAATGTTTTCTCGAATGCTTCCTGTCTGAATCCGTGCTGCTTGTGAGAAATAAGCAATAGTCTGATACACTTGTGGAGGTGAGGACTATGTCCCCTCCCTCGTACTTTATTCTAATTATTGTCCATCTAGCCCTCCACCTGGGCATGGGTGGTGTTCGGAAAGAAAAATAAATAAATATAGAGTATTCTTAGCAAATTATTTCATTTTTTTTTGTCCGAAGTAGCCCTATTGTACAGGAAAACTCAGGATTCAGATGACACCAAAATGGCAAAAGATTTCATTTCACACTGGGAACTAGTACACACTACAGATAAATACATTGTTACAGGATAACTACTGCCTCAATACATGTAACAATTACATTGACATTTTATGCTAGATTTATTAGAAAACCAGGGTATCAGACATTTGTTCCTTTACTTTCATGATTCCCCTCAGATCCCCAACTTGTTTCGACGTAGAGGTTTTCTTTTGGACTGGCTAGGCTTATAGAATGTGAACGTCCTAAGCAGAGCAGCGATTTCAGATCAATCAAGAAAGGACATAAAAGATGATGTAGTTTGCATCAATGTGATTCAGAAGAATGATAGTCAGCCCAGTATTCCTTGAGAAGCTGCCCAAACAACGAATCTTCTCTCTCCATTAACTTCTTGGGTTGGTCATACTCCACCAGTTTCCCTGTATTCATATCCAGAATTGCGTAAGCTCCGTTAAAGTTTTTGTATAAAATGTGTCACAATGTATTTAGACGAGGTGATTCAACATGGTAGCATAGCTGTACGCATCAGGTGTGATACAGGAAGGGGCATTTTAATGAATATAAATGTTGAAGTAATAGAACTCACCGTCACTGATAGCAAGAACCATTGCACAATCCACCACTGTTGATATTCTATGGGCCACCGTTATCACAGTACAATCAGCAAATTCTGTTCTAATAGTTTTCTGTAAGATGTAATCAGTAGCATTGTCAATTGATGCAGTCGCTTCATCAAGTACTAATATCTTGCTTCTCCTTAATAAAGCACGTCCCAAACAAAACAATTGTTGCTGCCCCACGCTCCAATTAGCTCCATCTTCAGCAACTGAAATGACAAGTTTTTTTGGTTATTTCAATTCCTGATATTTGCATTGAACGCGTCCTAAAACTTACCAAGAGAGTCTAGGCCCTCGTCTTTCTCTTCAATGACCTCTTTGAGCTGGCACTTACTGAGTACCTTTAGATTTCAAAGTAAAAGTCGATCATCATCTAGTGTCAATAGAAGCATTTCTCAAGAACATCAAGACACCCACATCTTTGGTAAGGTGGACTAAGTAGTATTAGACAATATTAATTGAAAAAAATATAAAAATCGTGTTCATTGTACAATATAAACATACAATGATGGCAACCAATAATTACCTCCCATATTTCTTGGTCAGTATGTTGAGACAATGGATCCAAATTGTACCTCACAGTTCCATTGAAAAGGGTAGGATCCTGAGGTATAATCCCAAAATGGGACCTCAAATCATGAAGCCCGATTGTTGAGATGTCAATTCCATCCACTACGATCTTCCCACCCGCGGGCTCCACCAGACGAAACAAGGCACTGATGAGAGTAGTCTTCCCACTGCCAGTTCGGCCAACAATACCAATTTTGTGTCCTCCTTCAAATGTGCAACTAATCCCATGTAGAACAAGTGGCATATCATGCCTATATTTAATCTGCTTTTCAAATTAAGAGTCAGAACATATTTATTAGAATGATAATTAATTCAAGTAACATTTACCTGCAAATCTTGAATATCCACTTTACCCTTGGATGGCCAGTTCACAGGGGGACGGTTCTCTTCTAAAACTGGAGGAGCCTCACTTGGTATGTCCATATACTGGTGGATCCTTTCTACGGAAACAATTAAGTTTGATATCTGGCATTGAAATTGCATCGAAAATACAATGGACGTACTTAGAGGCAGACCATAGGATAAAGCCATTCCGACAAAACCTGAAAATAATGAAGTGAAGGGTTCAAGGTTATATCTTCAGAAGTAATAGAATGATGAATATCAAACAGGATTAGTGTATTTTTATATTTTTTGATTCCATAATACGAACTGATGTATCAACGATCTCTCACCCGGGCTCAAAGTTCCTGGGGGAAGTAAAACCATGCAGAGAGCCGAGGAGGCAAGAACGGCAGCAGCAAGTATTTCTAGCCTTTGGATTAGCCACTCATTTGCAGCAAAATTGTGGAAGAAAGGACTGGCATTTGTGTCAATGAGTTCAAGGTTCTTGGCGAAAAAACGATCTTCCTCTTCAAAAGCTCTTATTATAGTTGCTCCAGCTACAGATTCAGCTATATGGTTTGCTACGAGAGATTTAGTGGTGCCATTGATCCGCATCAATGCTTTAGCAGATGAAAGGTAGTACCTCTGTGGGTGGAACAGTTAATATTACTTAAAGTAGATGAACTTTTAAGGAAAAAAAAAGGAAGACAGTTTCCAAACCCGCTTGTAAACAATTTTTCACAGTGCGAAAATTTTTGTCTTTTAGAGACCGTGGTTTTCTCAAGTTTGTTTTCCTTGTAAAGCCTTATATACTGCTCAATGATTCTTATAAAGTTGAGCAGTTTACTTTTACAACAATGATCATTACCTGTATGCAAATAGCAAGAAAGACCATGGGTATGGAGACAAATAAAACTTGCCAGGTAGCAACAGCTACCACAGCAAGATTAGAATAAAAATTTGCAGTTGTTCCGACGGCTACCATCAAGACAAAGGGAACATCAAGATCCACGAGACTCAAATCGGAAGAGACCTGCAGGGCTGATATTATATTATAGACGTATAAACATTAGTTTCATGATATCTTCAAGCCAAGAAATATTTACCCGGTTCAGTATTCTTCCCAAAGGCGTAGAATCATAAAACGACATGGGGGCACGAAATAAAGAATTTAGTAGCTGTGAAAATATTGATTTCGATGATTTCTTGCCTAAAGCAACCATTAAGAGGGACCTGCAGAGCAAAAACAAACTCGATGCAATTCCAATCAGCAAGTAAACGACTATCAACCTCAATGTGCTAACATTTGGATCATCAACATTTGCAGCCATCCAAGAGTTCTGTAATATCTGACCAAGCAAGAATGTAACATGAAAGAAAGCAGCCGAGAAGAAGATCAAAAAGCCTTTGTTATGATTTAAATACAGAATATAAGGCCTAAATCCAGTGTCCCCAACTTCCCTTTCTTCTTGCTTTATCAACTGATCATGTCCAGATTTTTCCTTTTTATTCTCTGCATAAATTTTGCGAATCTCTCCGGAAGAAGCTTCATGCCTTTTTGAAGAAACGTTCTCCAAAACATCCGTCTCTTTGTGTGCATTAACAAGGTCCCAAAATTTTTGGCTTGAGGACAGCAACTGAGAATAAGGACCAGCATGCAAAATTTCCCCATCTGACATCAACTGTTACGAAGAGTAGACAAATTGTTAATATTTGTGATTAATGATAAAAAAAAAAATTATCAACCACTTGATGCAATCATGATATTAGTAAAGCAAATTGGAAATTTACAAAATAATGAACATAGAATCATAAACATAAAACAGAATGTCTGACGATAAAACGCACCAAGACAGTATCAAATGAAGAAATGAAATCAACTTGATGTGTCACAAGTAAGACAGTCTTCCCTGAGAGGGCTCCCATGACATATTCCTGCCGAGATTAAATTCAATTTAATCAAACTACTAGAAAGAAATAAAGCAGAAAATCAAAACATTGTACGGGTGTTGGGGCAAACATGTCCCACATCGGTTGTGGGAAGAAAATAAATCCACCATAAAACCCAAGTGGGCTACTC